AATTTAAATGAAGCCGTGATTATTTTAATCGCGGCTTCATTTCCCTCTGCCGATCTGGCTAATCTACATGCCTCCGTCGACGGAGGCATGTAGTCTAGACACACCCTCTCTAATGCATTCGCATCCTTTCATGGGATCCTTTTCTCACTGCTTGATCTCCATTAGAAATCTCTTGTGGGCCAGACCCTAATCCCCTGCAGCTTTGCCCTCCGATGAACAGCGTTTCCCGAAAATACACCCTGGACACTCAGCTGTTGCTTGGTTTTCAGTCATAACCCAGAGACCCCCACGGACATTTCTCCTTCAGCTTCCGTGTGAGGCCGGGTGTCAACTCACAGGGCCATGAACAAGCCGGATTATGGGCTGAGTAGATTAGGGATCATTTGGTTTATTAGTCTCACTCCATCACTGCTACAGAGTCCAGATAAGGAAATGCAACAGAGAGCTTACGAAATCTTTCCAGGATGAAAATGCTGGTACAAATGGTTACATTTACCCCCAAAAGAGTGAACGTTTTATGAAAGGTTTCTTATTTGAGTTAATTTTGTTTTTCCTTGGACATTTCATAATTTGAAGATAGATCGATGCCCGGAAATCCACGGATCTCCCTTTTATATCTGCAGGGATCTTTCATCCCCGGATGGACATGCGGAAATCCACGACTCATTGGGGACCAGACTGATTCAGATCCAAATCTTGTATCTGCTCCAAAGACAGAAAACCAAGGTCGTTCTTTGACTCAATAGCCTCCTTCGATTTTTTGAAGAACCTAGCCAAAGTGTGGTGGAAATTTCCTTTCTAGTTAGAATTTTTTTGGTAACCAATTTTCTGGACAGCTTTCGACTGGGTCATCATTTTAAAAGGGAAAAATCTGTCTTAAAAAACGTGAGAGTCAGAAGGACAAAATGGAACCAAATGGGATTGAATTCGCCTCTTCACGCTACTTCATTTCCCTCAACGTTTCATTCTCTAATATCTCCAGCTGCGTGGAAATTTCGCCTTTCCTACTGTGTTTCTAAAGGCTGCCTTCACCTCTTTGTTCCGCAGGGTGTAAATGATGGGGTTCAACACAGGGGTCACAACTGTGTATACGAGGAAAGACAATTGATCATGCTCTGGGTTAGAACTTGACGCTGGTTTCAGGTGACTCACGAAGGCTGATCCATAGAGCAAAGCCACCACCGTGAGGTGGGAGGAGCAGGTGGAGAAGGCTTTGCGTCTGCCCTCCACGGTTGACAGCTTGAGGATGGTGGAGATGATGCAGACGTAGGACAGGAGTATCAGTAAAAAAGGACCCATCACAAATAGCACCAGCACGACGAAGGAAAAGATCATGTTCTTCCATGGGTTGGAGCAAAGCATCTTATGTAACCCTTGGGCAGTGCAGAAATAATGGTGGATGCGGTGGGATCCACAAAAGGGCAGGCTGAAGAGCTGTGTGGTCTGAGCTCCTGCAGATAAGATACCGATGAGCCAGGAAGCACCCGCGAGCCACGCACACACCTGGCCGCTCAGGATGGTGGCGTAGTGCAAGGGGCGGCAGATGGCCACGTAGCGGTCATAGGCCATGACCGCTAGGAGACAACAGCCTGTGAGGCCTGCGAGGTTGAGGACGAAAAACTGGGCCTCCTCCACCAAGAGGTGAACCAGCAGCTGAGGGATCACACTGGTGATGAAGCAGATTCCTGAGACAGACAGGTTCACCAGGAAGAAATACATGGGGGTGTGGAGGGAGGGGTTGAGCTTTATCAGGAGGGTAATGATCAGGTTCCCCATCAGCGCAAACAGGTAGGAAGGAAGAAACACCAGATACAGAAGGATTTGCAGCTCGCCAAGGTAGGAAAACCCCACCAGGATGAACACACCGGAGACGGTCTGGTTCTCCCCAGCGTGGCTCTCAGAATTGCTCATCTGTAGGGCGGAGAAAGACCAACACTGCATCAGAAACAAATAAAACAAGTGGATGAGAATCACATCGTGTGGACTGGTGTCTTTACCATGGGGGATGCTTAAGATTAAAACCTGCTGCAGTTCTGTGTGTAACTGGGACCAAACTTATTCAGGTATCAGCTGGTGTCGCTGTTTCTATGTGAACCAAGAAATGTCTTTCTTTCTTTCTTTCTTTCTTTCTTTCTTTCTTTCTTTCTTTCTTTCTTTCTTTCTTTCTTTCTTTCTTTCTTTCTTTCTTTCTTTCTTTCTTTCTTTCTTTCTTTCTTTCTTTCTTTCTTTCTTTCTTTCTTTCTTTCTTTCTTTCTTTCTTTCTTTCTTTCTTTCTTTCTTTCTTTCTTTCTTTCTTTCTTTCTTTCTTTCTTTCTTTCTTTCTTTCTTTCTTTCTTTCTTTCTTTCTTTCTTTCTTTCTTTCTTTCTTTCTTTCTTTCTTTCTTTCTTTCTTTCTTTCTTTCTTTCTTTCTTTCTTTCTTTCTTTCTTTCTTTCTTTCTTTCTTTCTTTCTTTCTTTCTTTCTTTCTTTCTTTCTTTCTTTCTTTCTTTCTTTCTTTCTTTCTTTCTTTCTTTCTTTCTTTCTTAGGTGAAGTTTTTTTCGGAAAAAGGCTACTTTTTCGAAAAAAAACCCTGAGTCTGGACACAGCCTAAGTCTCTACTGCAATGTTAAATTGAAAAAAGAAACACAATTAGCTCAAATTTTTCTGATTTCCTTTTGAAAGAGGCTTTCCTGAAATTGGGCGTGTCTACATGGCACGAAATTTCAGAGAAAAGTGCTCTTTCAACAAATTCCTTCTTCCTCATAGAACAAGGTTTACAAGGTTAGCGCTGTTTCAAAAATAAATGGTAAAAGTGCACACATTTCTTGTATGTGACGTTGCTTTTCCGGGATACCTCTGGTCTCCCAGAAAAAAATTCAATCTACATGTAGTTCTTTCTTTCTTTCTTTCTTTCTTTCTTTCTTTCTTTCTTTCTTTCTTTCTTTCTTTCTTTCTTTCTTTCTTTCTTTCTTTCTTTCTTTCTTTCAGAATGACAGATTTCAGAGGTAGCCGGGTCAGCTTCCATGAATTGCAACTCATTTCTTCAGATGCGTGAGTGAAAGAAAAAGAAAGAGAGAGCAGTGGTACAGAGAGGGGAGTGGTACATCAGAGCTAATTCGCTGTGTGTGGTTATGGATAAGAAAGTGACAATAACTAAAGAGCAAAAGTACCTGACGTGTAGGTAAATGAGCCGTTGATGGTATGGGTGATACTGTTGGGTCCCATGATGGTGTCACTAGTAAAGATGATGTCACACTCCCCTCTCTGTACCCTGCTCTCTGTTCCTTTCCCCCTCACTTCATGCACCCGAGGAAGTGAGTTGCTCCTCACAACAGTTACTGCTGCAGTAAAATTGCTCATCTTAAAGTCCCACCGGACTCCTGGTCTTTAATTTTCTCATTGAGAATGTGACTCTAAAGCCCCATTCACCAAATGCGATTTGTCAAACCAGGGCGAATTCTGACCTCACTTGCGGGTTAACCACAAGAACAATGACACGCCCATCAAGGTCCTGTTCTAGTTCCCACACCCAAAGCGAGGGCTGCTCGTATTTGTAAACTGATGTGGCTGAACCCCGCAGGTCTGAGGAATGAGACGCATGATGCACCTTGAAAACCCGGTGGCACTGGGGCCGTTTGGTAGCTGCGAAAGGCGATTCTTCCCCAAGTCTTCCAGAGCCATTTCAATCCTTCCTGCCTCTTTCCTAGCCCTACCCTAACTGCATCGTTTGCTACCAGCCTGCAAAAAAACCTCTGAGTCATTTCCTTCGCAGGGGTAAATCTGAACAGCCCGGTGCGGATGAAAAGACAAACCAGGTGTGGATCTTTTATAACCTGGCTCTAAAGAAGTGGACAAGAAAGAAGATCCTACAAAAAGATTTACTTTGCAATTTCTTTTTCCTTCCTGGTTATTTGTTGAGCGGGAAATTTGCTATAACAGGCACTGACACCAGGGAGATAATATTAAAATGAGCGATAACACAGCTTGTATTTTCCACACCGCTAGCACCTTTCATACAGGGCCCTCAAAGCAAACCCTCAAATAACAGCGAGCTGCTAAGCAGGAATCTGGGAATGCAATGGAGAAGTGGCTGGGTTTACATGTGAAGTCAGCATTTCCTGGTATAGACACTGAGGTCTGCTGATAGCTGAAACCGTGCCGTAACCGAAGGACCGTTCTCTTGGAAATTTGCATATTTTCTTATGGGACTGTGGGGATAGATAGATAGATAGATAGATAGATAGATAGATAGATAGATAGATAGATAGATAGATAGATAGATAGATAGAGGGGGGGTGTGGAGATTAGATAGATAGATAGATAGATAGATAGATAGATAGATAGATAGATAGATAGATAGGGGGTGTGTGGGGATAGATAGATAGATAGATAGATAGATAGATAGATAGATAGATAGATAGATAGATAGATAGATAGATAGATAGAGGGGGGGTGTGGAGATTAGATAGATAGATAGATAGATAGATAGATAGATAGATAGATAGATAGATAGATAGGGGGTGTGTGGGGATAGATAGATAGATAGATAGATAGATAGATAGATAGATAGATAGATAGATAGATAGATAGATAGATAGATAGAGGGGGGGTGTGGAGATTAGATAGATAGATAGATAGATAGATAGATAGATAGATAGATAGATAGATAGATAGGGGGTGTGTGGGGATAGATAGATAGATAGATAGATAGATAGATAGATAGATAGATAGATAGATAGATAGATGGCAATGTGGGGATAGATAGATAGATAGATAGATAGATGGGTGTGTGAGGATAGATAGCTAGATGGATGTGATGTATGGGGATAGATAAATAGATAGATGTGAACACACACACCCGCGGGCTCAGACACACAACCAGTCTCTGTTTGTCTGTACGTGAAATACAAATGCAGAAATCAGGGACACGATTTTGCTCTAAGAGCAGAGCGGGGCGCGACGTCCCCGGCCGCGAGTGGGGGAAGGGTTGGGGGAGGTTTCACCTACCTGTGGAAGAAGAATCGCACCCTCTCCTAGCTGCACCTGTGCAAGGAATCGCAGGGTTTTTATTTCATTCACCGGCTCTGGGGACCGAGTCCTGGAGGAATCCTCTGGTCAGATTCCCGGGAGGAGGCGCGGCCCGGCCTCGCACGGACCACGACAAACGTCACCGGCTCCGTGCTATCCCGGGAATTGCACCGTTCCCGTCCCCAGCCACCTCGGCTGTGTTTTCCACACGGCACTTGGGACGGGATTTCAATTGTGGGACGTTTTATGGCCTAACAGGAGGAACCATGTGTCCAAGGTCACACAACAGAAGGACTCAGGAACAACCCCGGGGCTCACGGCTCCAGTTCCCTGATGCTCTGACTCTGGGCCCCGCTCAGAACCACGATTTGAACCCAGGAGCTCTGCCTCCCAGTCCCCCCTGCTCTAACCATTACACCCCACTGCCCTGCCAGAGCTAGGAAGAGAACCCAGGATTCCTCTCTCCCAGACCGCCCTACTCCACCCACAGGGCCCATTTCCCTCCTGGAGGGCCAGCCCCACAGCCCAGAGCAGGCAGGGGGCTGCTCCCTTGGGCTCCAGTCAGTTTTCTGCAGGAGCAGAGTCAGGGCGAGCTCTCAGGGGCACCAGGACACACTCTGTGTGAGGAGGGAGAGCCAGGGACA